GCAATAAAACTTATAGAAAAAATAGACAAATATGCACATGCAATTTACAGCTTTCCCCAACATAATCCTTGTGCTTAGCTTTGACATAGTTTTTTTCCCATTTTTTAATCTTTTTGTAGTAACATACCATTGTCTACAATAGATACTCTTCCCTATCCCAGGATATTCGGTCTTCCTTGAGGAACCACTTTAACAAAAATACATTAGAAGTGGTCAGACATGGATGAAGGCACTCCAACTCTGCTTGAAGCAAAAACTAGTGTGATCCTTTTCTCTTCCAAAAAGGCAAGCAAGGACGCATGCACAGTGCTGTGAATTGGGGGTGGGACTATGGAAATACTACCGAGTGTATATATTGGTACTTAAAATAATTAAAACAACAACAAAAAATTTGCTATACTTCTACGCTTTTAAGACCCAACGAGCACCTCCATGATGTGATCCAGTTCTGTGAGGTCCATTTTGAAAGGCTGATTTGGAGTTACCGGTTGACTGCTGTACGGAGCGAGTGTTTTTAGGAGCTCATCTGCTGAGACAGGAGCCATTTTTGAGGCAGCCCCCGTGGCAGACGTGCAGGGGTCAAAATCATACATGGACGTATCAATGTCAGCGAACAGGATATCATCCAGGGTCAAGTCCGTGAGGAACCCTGTGGAAGCTGTTATCTCAAAGTTGCCAGGCAGGGAGTCCATGAGTTTGGATTCAGCCGTTCTGCTCTCCGGGAGGCCCTCAGGCTTTGGGACATTGGACTCGCTGGGGTGGTCCTTAGAGTCATCGGCTGCTGTTTGGGCTGCTACTGCCTCTGCGGAGGTAGGTGCTGGACAAAGCTCCTCGATTTCATCCAAGGCTGAGGAGAAGCTGTCCTTTACTGGTTGGAGAGCAGGAGGTGGCGGTTTCGTGGGACCATCGTGCTGGACAGCCGGGGAAGTGCAAAACGTGTCGTCCTCGAGCAAAGAGGCTGGGGTGAGGCAGGACTCCAGGGGCATAGTGCTTACGAAGTCAGTGGGGAGAAGGGGCTGGGAGGCGAGGTGGCTGAAGGCCGGCTGCGCCTCGCGGAAGTTGTCGCTGAGAGGGTCGGCAGGCTGCGAAGCGGTCACGAACACGGGCCTTAGGCTGCCTTCTTGTTTGAGTTCCTCCTGGATTCGCCTCAACATGTTGTTAATTAAAACTGTCTTTTGCAAGCTTGGCTCAGTTAATGGCCTGTGGTTATAAAGTTTCATAAGGGAAATGTTGAAGATAGTCTGACGCTGTAAGGTGTAAGACACCTTAGAGGGACCGTCAGTGGGAGACACCACTTTGCCTTCCAACCCATCTTCATGCTCGTCAAACTTCCGCTTTCCTCCTTTCCCCAACATATATCTGAAAGGAGAAGAGTAAAGACTGATGAAGCCAGCGAAGCCTGAAGCCTGTTCTTCTTGCCCAAGTCACTATCCCAATCCAACTACTCCCTTGCACAAGAGTATAGACAGATTGACCACTCTGTCTCCTCCTTACTTACCCCTAAAACAAGTGGAAATCAGTCATCCTAAGTAACTCACAGCAGACCCCGTAACACAGTGCTCTGGTCCACCATGCTTCAGCACCACTACACTGGTAAGTTACAAGCAGGAATTCAAACAGCATCTATAAAACTCAAACCCTTGCACTCTTGGCAGCAAACCTCCCTCTTGAACATGTTAAATGTATGATCCCCAAGTATCTGTACATTGGTGCACAAGCTACAGATGGTATATAGAACATTCCTTTAAATTGCCTGACTGATGCAGTACTATGCCTGGGAACACGAACCTAACAGACCAAAGTTCTTGTGATGCATTTCCCTTGTCATTCAAAAGCATGGTCACAGGACAAAGGGGAGCAAGGCTCAAGCAGTCATATACTGAGAGAAACCTCCCCGCTGAAGACAGGAGATTGAACACTTCAGCACACCAAGCTATATGCATAAGAGACCTTGTGGGTTTATTTAACTGACTGCCTAAGGACTTAACTACTAAAGCAGAAAATGCAGTTGGTACACTCAGAATTAGATAAATTACAGACAAAGATGATGATCCATCAGGTCTTTCAGTCTAATCCCCAAGACCATTCTCCGCACTACTCTCTGCTGCTGCAGCCAGGGCCTTCAATCCCGTCGGTGCCTGGGTACCAGTTTGAGGACAGGGGCATCTGCCTCAGAAAGCTTCAAATGATTTTGGCATCTCCTGAAGCCCTGAGCATCCCCCTCCAAGGACCAGACTCCAGGAGCACCCCTGATCCCACACTGTGGATCCATATGGGAGTGTGGACCTGCCTGCCCCTTGCACTGGGGTGATGCTCTGCATCCCCACCTGCGCATGAAACAATGGCAGCTCTGAAAGAGGGCTGTGCTCTCACCCCCTGCTCTTCTGGATATGGGAAGCGTTTTCACATGATGGTGTTTGAAAACCTCAGCTTCTGCCTGGCTAAGGCAATGCCAGCAGCCTTTGCTTCCTCTGGCAAGACTCTCAGGAGCTTGCTAGCCACAGACATAATAGCCTTTGCACCACAGCAAGGATGCATCACTCCGGATGCACCATTTGTCTTTGCTTCCCCCCATCAGAGTGTGTTTCTCACTCAGGGCTACATCCATGTCAGGTTTCATTGGAGAACAAAAGAATGGTGGAGAGCTTTTTAAGGAACAAAAATCAGCATAAATGTGTGTGCTTTTCTCCTTCTCAGATGGCAGGTTTTGAAGAAGGAAACAACGGGAATTTTACCAAACTTGCCCCCGTATCATAAGTAATTGCTGAGCTAGGGGTAAGTAGGGCAGTTCAATCCCTGGTGCCGTCTCTTCCAGGATGCTTCCGGGCGCCTGGAAATGCTCCTCTACACAGCAGTCCCAGCCTCAATTTGTCACCGTTCATTTTGTGACATGAAGATCCCCCCAAACACCGATGAATGAAGCAATTGTTGTGCTGTGACACCTGAAAAGGAAGGTGTTAGGGGCAGAAATCCTCTGCCCCACACCACCACCCTTCTCCAGTAAGCAGCCAGGGATTGGTGTGGTGAAATGGCCCCAATCACACAGGTGAAGCAGCACAGGCCTTGGGACAGGGACTTCCTTCAGTGCTGACGAGATGGCAGGATCCCTCCACCTCTCCCCCCACCTCTATCTGCATGGGCCCAGTTTCCCAGTGAAGCTGTTTTATTGCATCTAAATCAAACCAGAAGGAGCAGAGGCCGTTACCCCACTTCACTTGCCCATCCCATAGGCTACATCAGATTAGCCAAGGAAAGTCCTGCACAGACAGGGGCAGGATTGCAGGCATTGTAGGGCAGCACCCTGGCTCTGCCTGCTTCCATGTCTGAGGGCAAACATTCAGCTTCCCTCATTTTCCCAGGTAGAACGGTGAGATGCTGGAGCATTAACCCAGCTGCCCTGTCACTGGCATTCCAGACAGCTCCCTGTTCATCCCTGCATCTCTCCCTCCATTTAACAAAACACTAATGCAGTAGCATGAAGATTTCTGTCTCATTTTAAAGAAGGAAATAAAATGGAAGATGCTTTCCAGCCCCAGATACCCAGAGAGGAGCTGCAACAGGCAAATAGATATTTAACCCCAAATCTGACTCCTCTCGTACGAGCTTTATTACCCAGTTATTGCCTAGCTATCATTCATGAGACAAAATTTGCCTTCCTTATTTGAGTACAATTCCCAATTCCCTTAAAACGATCTGCACCACTCAGGCCTAACACCAACTCAATCATTACAGACTGGTTCTGCAGACAGGCAAAAGTAGCTAAGGACTTGCAAACCTCCCCAAGAACGGCTGACAGACATTTAAAAGCAAAGAGCCCTTGAGAAGCAGGAGAAAGGGGCAAAAGAAGCCAGGGTCTCAATGCAGAAAAGGGCTTCAGAAAGCATTTGCTGGCTGTTCAATCCAAAATGAGGCTGGGTGAAGTGAGCCTCTTCTGGTCTAAAATAAGTCCCAAATCCAGATCATTTTCTAGCATATTATGCAATTAAAGAAAGAAAGGCAGGGGGGAGGGAACAAGCTGAGCGAGCTGAGGAACAGGTAGGCTGCCATCCAAGCTCCTTGGCCAGCTACCAGCCATCCCCGCGCCTGGAATCTCGGGTGCTGCCGAAGCCTGGTTATTCTCTGCTCCCTAGTGTCGCTCGCATGGCCTACTCCAGAGCTGTGCATATGGGTTTGGGGTGCGAGGGGCGGCTTTGGTGTTCGTGATGGACATGCACCCTGTCACTTCAGACAGAGCAAGGATGGGAGCACCAGGCTACCAAGAATCGAAACCCCTGCCCCCAAGTCCAGCAATGGGTAGAAGGAGAGCTAGGAGCTTTCTGTCCCTTCCTGCTACGTCCTCCCCCTGAAAGAAGGCAGACTCTGTCCTAAAGACATAGCAATGCTCTTTCCGCAGTGCTCTATTTAAAGGAGACATTTTTGGATTGCTTGGGGACTATCAGAGCTTCAGTTTGTCAGGCTCTGCCAGGAATGTATAAAAAGCAACCCTTTTTCCCCCTGATAAAGGAACCAGACCACCTGGATGGCCACGCTCTGCTCCCTCTGCTAGGAGTTATCATTATCAGTTATTAGTATTATTCATCAGCAAGCATTCTGGATGAACCCAACTGAACCCACTTGCATCAAAGATTGAGGTGCTGGTAGTTAAGATGCTGTTTAAGCTGATCAGTCAGAGCTATAGTAAACATGACAGCCTCTCACTACGTCATTTTCCAGGAAGCTTAGAAATGAGTCAAGGTTTCCTGTATGTACGACTGTGAAGCTTCCACATCTTACTCAGTCTTCACATAGCTTGGTTCAGGGCTTGTCCTTCCAAAAGATAAAATACATCAGGCAACTCCCAATGTCACCTATCAGCTTTTCAGCACAGCTTTCAGTTTCCTTTTCGCCAGTAACGCTCTCTGAAGCAGGTCCAACCATTAAAGGAGCAAAGTAGGATGCCAGCCTAAGCAAGGGGGTTTTACACCCCCATAGAGGGGACTCAAATGAGCACGACTAGACTCTCAGCTTTATGAAGTTTCAGTTTATTCCCTTCTCCTCCAGCGTGCAAAGGGGAATTGTTAAAACGTTTTCCTCCAGTTTCCATAAATCACTTTATTCATTGTAGCAAGGAGGCGGTATCTTTTAGACCAACTGATAGAGCTGGTAAAAACAGACAGGCTTTCAGGCTTGCTTTCAGGTATCCATAAAGGAGTTTTATAGCTTCTGACCACCAGAGCTTAAGACAACGTTGCCTGTTTGTTCTTTACAGTTCAAACATCTTTTCTCCTTCAATCAGCAGTTTCATGCATACATTTAAGAGATAGGTGTTAACACGTAAGATTTAAGCTACTGAATAAGGTTACAAAGTCAGGCTGTACCACGCCAGCATTTGATCTAGCTCAGGTCTGTACATCTCAAACTTTGCTCCTAGCCTTTTCAGCTGAAGTTCCTGCTGGGAAAAGGAAAACACCAAACTTAACAGATCAGGCTGGCCAAAGATCAGCACAAAAAGAGACAGACCCACACTCTCCCAAATGGCAGAAGACAGAGTCGGCCTACCAAGTCTTATGGCCATAATGGGACAGTTGGCCAACAACAATCCACCAAACACGAGACTGGACAGGCAGTGACAGATGGTCATGTCCATGGAGGGTCTTCTGGGCATCCATTTTGGCTGAGCAGCAGTCCCAGCCAGATGTATTTGTGCTGTATTTCCATCTGTCTCCCAGCAAGCATCAGTTTGGGGCCAAGCGTTAAAGAGTTGGGATGGGATGTCACTTTGTTGTTGTTTTAATAAAGGGTGTTGCAGGGTTTTGGTATGCAAGCTAGTTTTCAATGTTACTGAGTTCTGTGGAACCAGAAAGCTGATGAAAGGCAATGGAAAAACTGCATTTATCCAGGGATTGGGGTGGGGGGAGTTGCTTGGAGATCTTCCCAATATTACCCACCAGTTGGCTCCGGGTCTGCCAGACCCAGACCCAAAAGCTGAACCACTGCTGCTGGGAAAGCTTCAACTTGCTTTTTTGCCCATTTAGGGCGATTGCACGCGCCTCAGAGCCAGCAATCCCCTAGCATTGTCTGGGAGTTGGCTTTTCTTAATTGAAAAACAAAAGTTAATATATATTTGTGTGTCATTTAGCTGCCTGTTATTGGCCTGCATCCTCTTCAGACAGAGCTGGGGAAAAAAATACAGCTGGGGCTCAACAGAAGAGATAATCAGCCTGGAGCGGGTGGCTCTCTGGAGTCACCCATCATTGACTAAACACAGCAAAGCTTGTGCAATGCCTGACTATGTCTCTGAGCCCACTCAGTGATGAATCCTTCACTCTCTAGAGGACAGAGGTACACACGCACTGTGAGAGAAGTAATGTATTTATCAGTTGTACTTAGGACATTATACCTTGTCTCTGCTGGACTATTTCCGAAGTCCTTAATGATCGGGAGCTTGCCACAGGGAAGCACTAGGTGTGTAAAAATGAAGGGTAAAAGTGATTTGGTTATCTTACCAATAATAAAAATACCTTTTAGTGTAAATACTCAAAGGCTTTAAGTAGTTTAGTTTGTCTCAAGACTGAGGGCTTTTCTTGGAACTCAGTTCCACAACCCACTAGTCCCTCCCTGCTCATCAAGGCAGACAGGAAGGGGTGAAAAGAAAGAGGAACTGAACACCAAGAGGGACAGCAGCAGAAAACGGATTTTAGTAAGTCCTATCACCTGGTCTAAAGGATGAACAGCAGTACAGTGAGGTTCACTTTTAGAATAAACACCACATTGCTCCAAAAGGTAAAAGCATCAAGCCTTAGAATCCACAGGTCACTATTGCCCCCATCACTGCCCAGTGCTGACAGACAGATGCGAACGGCGCCGGCCTGTGTGAGAAATGGAGTTTAAATCAGTTACTTTCCAAAATCTTGGGTAATTAAAATTGAAGCGGGGGGACAGAGGACAGAGACATGACTTGATGGAATTTAAGTAAAATACTGCTTCACACACATGTGCACAGAAAAAATGGAACACAAAAGCCCCCCATAAAAGCCTCCTGAACCACAAAGAGAGTACTGAATTTGCAAATTTCATTCCCAAAACAAAGTTTCCCAAACCTCAGGTGCAAATGAACCTCACATCAGGGTTTTGTAGAGTCTCTACCCAGTAAATCATGCACTGTGTCACTTCTGGCACATGAAGTATTATTTTCCTCTCCTCCATCCCTCACTCCTCATCCTTGAGGGTTGCACTGGCTGTATCCTGCCCCAGCTGTAGTCAATGAGTGTTCTGTTAGTGACCTCAGCAGGATCAGGATTTGGCATAGATAGCTGCAGGACCAAAATTAAAAGGCCTTTTGTGCCAACTGGGTTCAACCTGCAAGACAAGGGCTAGACCCTTTTAGCTAGCAGAGGCAGGCTGGGCTGCCATGGGGCATTTCAGTGCTGTCGGATCCAGCCTAAGGGATCCAGCACTTGTAACCAGCCCCATGACTTCAAAGTATGTGTCCCCTAGAGCTAGGCAGGCAAACTTCTCTCTCTCCCTGTGCCTGTTTCCACATCCCCAAGGCCATGGCAGAGTGGTTGGCATCTCAGAGGACCCCCTTGGAGCAGGACCACCGGCTCACCCACCTCAGCATGATGCTCCTTGGCCTGTAGGATCCTGGCAAAGCACAGCAAACCTGCCCTGGCAGCTGGGAGCTGGCCTGCCCTCCGAGAGCACAGGCATCCTCCTCCCATTCAACGCTGGAAAGGAAGAGAAACAGTGGAGGGGAACGCCAGGATAAATCTGGCACCCTCTCCCAGCCTCGCCAGCACAAGGAAAGCTGAACAGCCCAGGTGCCGAGCTCTAACTGCAGGGCTGGAGGCGACCAGCAGTGTGGACTTGGGGAGGCGACAGCCACAGCGTGATGAAAACCCCTCCTCCCTGGAGATTTCCTCTGTTGACACTGGGGTCTTTAAATCCTGGCTCGGCAGCATCCCTGGGAGCCAGTACAGCGTGTACCGCGCAGCAACGCACGGCTACGTTTGCTGTGCTGCAGCTGGCTCGCAGCGCGCGCGCTGACGGGGGCTCTGGGGTTTGCTGCCTGCTTTTTGTTCCTCCCCTCTCACTTCTGCTCTCCTCAGGACCCGATGCAGATTTCACTTGTTCGAATAGAACGCGTCCATATTGCCTGCCTGGAGCCGACTCCTGGCAACCACTGCCTGGTAAGAACTGGGTCTCGGGGCACGCATGAGCTAGAAAACAACACCCCAATCCTAAACAAGAGGAACGGAGCTGTGATGGGGTGCTCAGACGTTCCCCATTTACAAGGTTTGTTTTCCCCAACACTTACATTTTATATTCATTCTGGCTGCTTTTTCCTAACCGACTGAGGTTTAATAAGCACTCACAAAAGTCTCCTTTACAGCTCTATCAAAAAATTGGCCTCCTGGGTAGCTCTGTGCTTCCAGAGAGTACAGGGAATTGTTTTTATGTTCGCAAGCCTTCACTGCAAGGCTGCTGGTGCCAGCAGAACTGTAAGTGGCAGGAATTTCTCACATGTATTTTATAGGGACCTAACTCTTCCCATCTCCTGCAGTGGATGGGTGGACCCTGGCTCTTCCAGAAGAAGCAGAGAGGCAAGCAAAGCTGCTCAGCACCCCACTGCTGCATTTAGCAAGTGAGGCAGCTTCCCTCTCCCTACAGAAGCACAGCCTTTAGGCACTGACAAGTGAAGACTGGGGGAGAGCAATCAGCAAGCTCAGTGACCTAGGTCCTTTCTAGCCTTGAGTTACAAACCAAAGGAGGGAAACCATAAGTGGGTGACTTTCAGAGGCCAATCTAAGCAGGAATTAGTTAGGGACTGTGCAAGGAAACCTCCTGGCAAGCAGGACACACCAGAGGAAGCTCAGACTCTTATCTGAGGAGCACCTAAAGTCACGCAGCTCTCATAGGGGTTGGCTTTGGTGCTCGGAGCCTGGAATCCCCACGTCCCCGAAGGAGTGTCCATGTTAATGAGGCAGTAAGGTGAAGCCTCCGCTAGCAAATAAGCAATGCAGTTATAAAGGCAGTCAATAGTGTAACGCCAGCCAACGTGTTCCAGCGATATTTTGAAACTGTAATCTGATCCTACTGTTTCCATCCTCGTGCCTTGCCTGCTCTCCCTTGTTGCATACTGTACTATTTGAGGCCCAGAGGGCAAAGCAAGAGCTGGCTGTTTGTTAATGATCAGAAACTGCGTTCTGAGCGAGAGCGCTGCCTGCGCCGCCCACTGCACTTTCTTGCTAGTTCCTTCAACTCCCAGCCTGCACAAACCCTGCAGAAGGCTTCTCTGCACAACAAAACCCAGCAAAACAACCCCAAAACACAACTACAAACTCCACTTCTGCCTTCGGTTTCCAGCTCCCTTTTACCACGCTAAAAAAAGGCAAAGCCGCAGTCTAAGGCAATCTCCGACTCTGCAGTGTGTTAAGTCTTGCAGGAAACATATGCTTCTATTAAATTGGAAACAGCTTCTAATGCTGTCAGTTTGCTAAATGTAACACGTTCCCTTGGAAGAAGTGGAGCAGTTTTAATGTTTTTGACTAACTGCGCACACCAAACAGAGTATGTCTGATAAAGCTGGAATGGGCTCCAATAAATATAGCCTAGAATAAATTACTGCCTCATTAAGTAATTGTTTGGAAAAAGGAGAGCAGGTTTTCCAGATTATAGCTGTGTTATTAAGGGTGTTTATAATATTAGGAATTCTATCAGGGTAGCAGAACATAATGCAAGTTTAAATCAGTCGAGCACTTGTTAGCTTGTTAAACCATTAAAGACTACCCTGGCAGAATGAGAAGGCGAACAAGACGGCACAGGTCCTGTGCGTGGAAAGCTACAGAGCCAGGCTGAAGAGCAAAAGCTCTGAGCAACTCTTGACAATGTATTTTCTGTACAAAGCAAGGGGGGATGTAGCTTTGTAACATACACTTATTCAAAACAGGGTTTATTCATGTACAGGAAGGCAGTTGTCTTTACTGGAAGAACAGGCTTGGATTGCCCAGACCTTTCTCTCTCAAAGGTCTCAAGCAGTCAAAATGTCATTCTCGCATGTCCTGCTTCAGACAGTACTTCTCATCAGCATCTTTACCATAGCAGCCATCAAATGCAAACAAGACCCCAGCCTACCCTTTTTGGTCTTTTCCTTAACTGGAAGCTTTATGAAACAAGCCTACAACTGCTAATGCCACCACAGCCCTTCACAGGCCTGGTGGAGATGCAGCTCAGTTGACCACCAACCGCAGCAGTACCTGCTTTGAGCCAGACTGGGGTGCAGGATTCCCCCTTCCCACTCCCAGGAGCTGGTTTGTTAGGGTTAGTCACTGAGGGGAAGAGAGATTTTTGGTAGGATGGCAAAGCTGCCCCCTCCTTGGGTCAACTTCGATGCCCAAACCTCTTTGTAGCCTTACCCAGGATGACTGCACGCACCAACAGTGCCCATGTCACCACAACAGCCTGGCTGATACTCTGAGGTTCTTCAGAGAACCACCCAAATGAGCTGGGCTATTGTGAAGTTTGGGTCTCCACGTGGCAGCCTGCTGAGCATGCATCAAATTGTCCTGTGCTGTGTACACACGGGCTAAGCAACTCTGCTGCCAGTATCAAAAGCTCAAGGACCAGGAGCTGCATTACACACCTGGGCATTGGTAGTAGGAAATCAGAGCTGCAGCAAAGAAAACCAGGCACAGCACTAGGCCAGATCCTCTGACTTTACTACATGATTAGCTGACTATTCAGCAGATTCTGCTTGTTGTCACCTGAAAAATATGTGAGGGCTTCTATGCACAAGCCTCCCTGGGTCAGCCAGGAAGCTCCCCCTGCTCCGTATCATGGTTTCCTTCCACAAGTCCAGCACTCTGAGCCTCCTTGCACAGGAGCTGGAGATGCTGGTCCCGCAAGCAGGATCACAGCACAATGAGGTTTCCCCACCAGCAGGCAAAGAGCCACGCCAGAGCCGGTGCATACAGCTCCATGCTGGAAGAACCACAGCCATAATCTCTTCAAGCAGTGGAGCAGCAGCAATTAAGACGACTGTGTACCGCTCCAGGGCCCAATTCAGCCAAGGGCTGCCTGCCTTCCATTGCTTCCCACTGCAGAGCCAGCAGGCATCAGCGCAGCAAAAGCACTGGCTAAAAAGAGGCACCTCACTTGTAAATTAAATTCAGAACAATGTGAAAGAGCCACACAGCCACCAGTAAGTGACACAGGCTAGCAAACACACGCTCCCTTTTCACTGCTAAAATTACACGCCTGTAATGACAAGATGCTACTGGTCAGGCTCTAAGGGAGACTGATGAAATAGCAACACCGGCTAGGCACCCCTCCTCCCCTGCACCGTCGCCCTGAACAATAGATTACAGCAACACTGTGTTGTGTTGTATTGTACAAGACATCTCTATTGGCACACGCATGTCACCGTACAGCTGGTATTTTTAGTGGATGGAGGGACTCAGTATTGTAGGCCCATCTTCCCTGGATGTGTATAATTCCTACAAAGGTTAATGAGAATTGTGCATGCATCCAAGAGAGATGAGACCCCTTTGTGTATAATAAGAGTTGCTTTCACATACATATAATTACTTGGATTGAGTCCTTGCTTTAAGTGTATCTTTTCCCCAAAGATACCTTGTTTTTCCCCTTTGTCGCAGACCCTTAACAAACACATGGGGTGGGAGGGGGGGAATGCCCATGCTACTGTGGAAATAACTGAATGGTTTCCCAAAAAGTAGGTTATTGCTCTGAAAACAGTGCTGAATAAATTATCACAGTCAAACTGAAAAGCAACGAATGGCAGGGGGAAGAAAAGGAAAGGAAAAAACCACTTCTATAAAGAAATGTATACAGCTAAACACAACACACATCCCAGCAATGACAAGTCATTTTAGCTTATGGGCTGCAGATTTTATTTGGTAACCAGTTTCTCACCACTGAGAGTTAAATGCAGAGAAACGGAAGGTGTTTCCCTGGCATATTTATAATGCAACTTATACAGCATAGGAGTTGCTTTCAATGTTTTTGCTTAAATGAAGTGAAGGCAGCCCTGCAAAGAAGTCTATTCTGTGAGAAAGCACACACTGAAAACAAACCACACAAAAAAAGTTTGACAAGGAAGTTTGCTAAGACGGTGTTAAGTGATGTTGGACAAGGTGGTAACTGTTGGCCCTTCAGTCCAGCTCATGCTGTATTCCAACAAGCGCCTGTTTTCCACGTCCTGCGAAGGAGCCTTCTGAAAACTGATAAAGGGGACTTTGGCCAGCCTTGAGCCATTCTCAACCTGCAACAGCTACAAGTTAAGAGTTGAAAGAGGTCCAGTTTTTCATGGCACCTGCTTGATTTCGCAATAAAAACTACTATAACCAAAGCGATACCGTAGACAAAACAGCCACCATGGGATCAACCTACCTTTCATGTGCAGCAAGTTAAACATGCTCAAATAAATCTTTTAAACTTATATGGGGACACCCTTTTAAATAGCTGGTTTTTTTAACAGCATACGTATTAAATCTGTATTTCAAAGCAGGCTTTGTACAGGTCAATTAAGATTGAACAAGCTTAGCCACAAACTCTGGAAATTGAAAGTGGAAAATACAGAGGAGAAGAGATCAGGAAACTGAAACTAAATGTCCTAAACTTCGCTTCATATTCAGTCAGGCACAACCCATTCAGCTCACCCAAGATAGTATTACACTGATTTTCCCCCACAATTAAGAAAAGACCCGCC